TGTGAAAACACAAAAGACCCCGAATAGCCAAAGCAATCTTGAGAAAGAAAAACAGAGCTGGAGAATCAGCTCCCTGACTTCAGACTATATTACAAAGCTACCATAATCAACACAGTATGGTACTGGCACAAAAACAGAAATATAGATCAATGGAACAGGATAGAAAGCCCAGAGATAAACCCACGCACATATGGTCACCTTATCTTTGATAAAGGAGGCAAGAATACACAATGGAGAAAAGACAGCCTCCTCAATAAGTGGTGCTGGGAAATCTGGACAGCTATATGTAAAAGAATGAAATTAGAACTCTCCCTAACACCATACACAAAAGTACACTCAAAAGGGATTAAAGACCTAAATGTAAGGCCAGACACTATCAAACTCTTAGAGGAAAACATAGGCAGAACACTCTATGACATAAATCACAGCAAGATCCTTTTTGACCCACCTCCTAGAGAAATGGAAATAAAAACAAAAATAAACAAATGGGACCTAATGAAACTTCAAAGCTTTTGCACAGCAAAGGAAACCATAAACAAGACCAAAAGACAACCCTCAGAATGGGAGAAAATATTTGCAAACGGAGCAACTGACAAAGGATTAATCTCCAAAATATTCAAGCAGCTCAAGATCAAAAAAACAAACAACCCAATTCAAAAATGGGCAGAATACCTAAATAGACATTTCTCCAAAGATGATACACAGCTTGCCAACAAACACATGAAAGAATCATCAATGTCACTAATTATTAGAGAAATGCAAATCAAAACTACAATGAGGTATCACCTCACACCAATCAGAATGGCCATTAGCAAAATGTCTACAAACAGTAAGTGCTGGAGAGGGTGTGGAAAAAAGGGAACCCTCTTGCACTCTCGGTGGGAATGTGAATTGATACAGCCACTATGGAGAGCAGCATAGAGGTTCCTTAAAAAACTAAAAACAGAGCTACCATATGACTTAGCAATTCCACTACTGGGCATATACCCTGAGAAAACCATAATTCAAGAAGAGTCACGTACCACAATGTTCACTGCAGCTCTACTTACAATAGCCAAGACATGGAAGCAACCTAAGTGTCCATCGACAGATGAATGGATAAAGAAGATGTGGCGCATATATACAATGGAATATTACTCAGCCATAAACAGAAACGAAATTGAGATATTTGTAGGGAGGTGGATGGACCTAGAGTCTGTCATACAGAGTGAAGTAAGTCAGAAAGAGAAAAACAAATATCGTATGCTGACACGTACATATGTAATCTAAAAAAAAAAAAAAAAGTGGTTCTGAAAAACCTAGGGGTATGACAGGAATAAATACATAGACGTAGAGAATGGACTTGAGTACATGGGGAGGGTGAAGGGTAAGCTGGGACGAAGTGAGAGAGTGGCATGGACATATATACACTACCAAATGTAAAACAGGTAGCAAGTGGGAAGCAGCCGCATAGCACAGGGAGATCAACTTGGTGCTTTGTGTCCACCTATAGGGGTGGGATAGGGAGGATCGGAGGGAGACGTAAGAGGGAGGGGATATCGAGATATATGTATACGTGTAGCTGATTCACTCTTTTTTTTTTTTTTTTTTTGCGGTACACGGGCCTCTCACTGTTGTGGCCTCTTTCGTTGCTGAGCACAGGCTCCGGACGCGCAGGCTCAGCGGCAGTGGCTCATGGGCCTAGCCGCTCCACGGCATGTGGGATCTTCCCAGACCGGGGTACGAACACATGTCCCCTGCATCAGCAGGTGGACTGTCAACCACTGTGCCACCAGGGAAGCCCTGATTCAGTCTTTTAAACTAACACACCATTGGAAAGCAATTATACTCCAATAAAGATGTTAAAAAAAATAAAATTCAATCAAAAAGCAGATATTTGAAAATTGGATTTTAAAGAAACAGGACCCAACTATATACTCTCTATGTGAGAGATACTTTAGATTCAAATATGCAAACAGGCTGAAAATAAAAGGATGGAAAAAGATGTACAATGCAAACCACAACCATAAAGAGAATGGGTGGTTATATTAATATATATATATATATATAAAAATATCAGAAAATAGATATTAAAAGAAAACATGTTACAGAAGTAAAGAGAGAGACATGATGATAAAAGGGACAATCCATCAGGAAGATATAACCATGATAAGCATATATGCACATAACAACAGAGCCCAAAAATACATGAAGCAAAAACTGACTGAAAGGTTAGACAGACAATGCAAGAGTATGAGGTGGAGGAGTCAACACCCAACTTTCCATAATGGATATAATGACTAGGCAGAAGATCAGCAAGGAAATACAAGAGTTAAACAATGGTATAAACAAGACCTAATAGACATCTACAGAATACTTCAACAAAATATACATTCTTCTTAAGAACACATGGAACATTCTGCAGATCGATTCTATGCTAGGGCATAACATAAGCCTCCATAAATTTGAAGAAGTTGAAATCACACAAAGTATGTTTTTCAAACACAGTGAATACAATTAGAAATCAAACTTAGAAAGTTTGAGAAATTCACACAAATATGAAAATTAATCAAGACACTCTTAAATAATCAAACTTCTGAAATTAACCTTTCTTTAATAGCCAATGGATTTTGAACAAGAGTGCCAAGAAAATTCAATGGGAAAAGAATAATCTTTTCAACAAACGATGCTGGAACAATGAGATAAATTCATACATACACACACACACACACACACACACACACACACACTCAAAATGGATCATAGACCTGAATATAAGACTTAAATATTGTAAAACTCTTATAAGAAAATATAGATGTAAATATTCATGTCCTTAGGTTAGTCAGTGGTTTCTTAGTACAACATCTAAAGCACACTGACAAAAATAAAAGAGATAAATTGCAAATTCAGGGTGCATTTTTAACTGCTGAGTTCTCAAAGAACGTAGAACTCCATTCCAAGCTCCCTTTAGGTGACAAATACACCATTTTGTATCTATTCCTCCTTCATTATTAATCATTTTAGAAAAGTTCTTAAAATATCAATAGTGCTCAGTCCTTGTCAATCATCGTTCATGTTCAGTACTACCAATAGTACAACTAGAATGTTTCTAATGTATGTAAATAACTACAATAAATGATACTTAAAAGTATCTTTATGGGCAAAGGGAGTCAAAAAGTACAAACTTCCAGCTATAAAATAAATAAGTCATGGAGATGTAATGTACAGCATGGGGACTATAGTTAATAAGCTATATATTTGAAAGTTGCTGAGAAAGTAGATCTTAAAAGCTCTCATCATAAGAAAAAAAATTTTTAACTATGGATGGTGATGGATTTTAAATTAATTTATTGTGGTGATCATTTCACGCTATATACAAATATCTAATCATTACGTTGTACACTTGAAACCAATATAATGTTATATGCCAGTTACACCTCAATAAAAAAGTATTTTCATTTGAATACAGATGTGAAATCATAGCATTCCGTATTGGCATCTGTTTTAACTATTTAAAAATAACAAAAATTCATTTTAAATTTCCACTTAAGAAACTATTTAAGCTATGGGAATATTTAAACCCTTTATTTTCCTGATTACAAAGTAACATACGATTGTTTTCAAGAGAACAGTTTTACAAAATTGAGATCATACAATATACACAATTTTGTATGCTGCATTTTTATTTTTATAAATGAACACTTTCCATGTCATTCCTCAAAACCATGAGATAAAGGCAATATATTGTTCTACTGTATTGATAAACTTCAAATTATTTAATGTATACTTCTATTAAAAATGGGCAAAGGACTTGAATAGACATTTTTCCAAAGTAGACACACAAATGGCCAACAGGTACATGAAAAAGTACACATCACTAATCATCAGACAAATGCAAATCAAAACCACGGTGAGATATCACTTCACACCTGTTAGGATGTCTATCATGAAAAAGACAAGAGAGAACAAATGCTGACATGGATGTGGAGAAAAGGGAACCCTGTGCTCTGTTGATGGGAAGGTACATTTGTACAGCCACTATGGAAAACAGTATGGAAGCTCCTCACTGTGATTTTTATTGGCACTTTCCTGAGATTACTCTTTCTTGATTCCTATTTTTTACTAATCAAAATAATAAATTATGTATTTGGCTTGAAAGTTCAAGGCTCAGTAAAAGTCAATGCTTATACTATGAATCTCTACTCTGAAATAGGAGATAAGTGGAGCCTGATGAATAAACTGTGAGAAAGAGGAGAGACAGAGAAAATAACTTTTGCCAAAAATAAAAAAGTCTTCAGACTTTCTCAGATCACAAATATCTTCAAAATTACTGAATAGAGTTGAAACCCTCCATTAAATTCCGCTTAATCATTGAGAAGGAATTTAGTAGTAATATGATAAGCTAATTACAAAGAGTATTTAAAAGGATAAAGAGTTCTTTGGTAAATTTCATGATTAAGACATTTTGCAAGTCTTTGTCAGATTTTAAGCTTTTGTTAATTAATTAAATAGGAGAATCTCATGATGCTTTATACCTATCATTTCTTGCTACTAAAAATACTCAGAGCATTTTTGTGTAACTGTTCTGTGACACTGGACACTTTCTACCTTAAACTGGACTGTACAACCTTCCTGAATGCTTAATAGTTTCACCTTTGTCCTAGTGCTTCACTGTTTTCCTTCATCCCTCCCCTGACCAAATACCTAATACAAGACCATAAAGGACTTCCCTGGTGGCACAGTAGTTAAGAATCCACCTACCAATGCAGGGGACAGGGTTCGATCCCTGGTCCGGGAAGATCCCACATGCCATGGAGCAACTAAGCCTGTGCACCACAACTACTGAGCCTGTGCTCTAGAGCCCACGTGCCACAACTACTGAGCCCACGTGCTGCAACTACTGAAGCCCGCGGGCCTAGAGCCCGTGCTCCGCAACAAGAGAAGCCACCGCAGTGAGAAGCCCGCGCACCGCAAAGAAGAGTAGCCCCCACTCGCTGCAACTAGAGAAAGCCCGTGTGCAGCCACAAGACCCATCGCAGCCAAAAATAAAAAAAATTAAAAGACCATACATATATAGCAGGCCAGAAATTACTATTTGCTGAACAAATAACTGAGTGACTGACAGAATGAAAAAGTGACTAGTCTCCTCTGCCCTGAACCATGCCTTTCATGAAAATAACAAAAAGAGAGACTTTTTTCTTTAACATAAATTCTATTACCTTTTCTCCATCAATGTCAATCAGGTAATGTCCAAGGCATTCCAGTTAGATATCTAAATATGTAAGTGTGATAGCTTAAAAAAACCCGATGCATCCAAATTTCCTAGGTATACATAAAGAATGAACATAAAATGCCAGTAATGTAATACTAAGACCTTAACTTTTATTTGACATTTCAATAGGTTTCCTCTTACATGATAACGCATGAGGTTTTTCTGTATTATGATTCTTTTCAACACAACAAAATAAAATTGGATATCATTGTCTTATATTTTAATATAAAATTGAATCCTTAAACTTTCAATTTTTATTTCACTTGGTCACTTACGTATGAAACACATTATTTTTTCCAAAACTGAAAATATTATACCCAGGTATCACAGAACAAAATGTCTGAATTTGTTCACTATCTGAAATGTGTCATATATACTCAGAGAGATACATAAATTTTATTTTTGTATCTCTTTTGTCTACTAGGAATTATTTCCAGACATACTGTTTTACCTCAGATCTTCATCAACTGTTTTCCAGTTACAGGGAGCACTGTATGTATGTATTTCCCAGCAGTATTAGAAACAAGGATATAATTTTGCTTGATTTGTATGGCCCTCCCAGGGCTATGCAACTGCATTTCAATAAATATTAACTAATGTCATTCAAAAGGCAATCTTTAAAATGCATCAGTAGTGCATGTGTGTATGTATGTGTGTGCATGTGTGCACATGTGTGTCTGCATGTATAGGTAGAAAGGACTTGAAAAATAGCTCTGTATTTTGGGGAGCTTCTGACACTTACTATATGAATCCTGAAGGCTTTTTTCCCCCAGATGCTCAGATACTTTGCCAAAACGTGCTAAAACAAAGTCACTTGGAGAATATGAGCTAGCCTAGAGATTAATAAAGCCCCCAACCTCACAGGCTTCCACAAATAATGATATGAAAACAACAGATAATTTTAAGCTATCAAATATTTCAAGGCTTCACTCTGTTTCTATGACATATTTATCCCATACGAAAGATTGGCTACAGGAGTTATAATGGCCTTCTGGGACAGGAAGAATAAGGTTTCTGTAGAAAATGTTAAATTAATCTTGATGGTGATGCAAAGTTAAGGAAGGGTTGTTAAGGGCTGGCTTGCTGCCACAGGGTGGGGTTTTATTTTGGTATCCTTTTAGAGTCTGCAGGTGTTTGGCACCAGTTAAAATCAGGGCCAGCTGTGATATTTCAGTTCTGATATTTCCCTCCCAATAGTTCTCAGAAGTGATGCTTCAGGGTGATGTCTTACACCTGATGGATTCAACTTGTGTGGTATAAATGTGAAGACTGTTAAATAACAGCAGTTTTGCGACACCCTTTGCCCTCCCTTCCCCACCCACAGGTCATGGCATCAAGGAGAAAGAAAAACATTAATCAGAGGTTCAGTCATTCACATACACATGTATTTTGTAACTGAGCATTTCATTCAAAAATGGTGATACACTAGAACCGCCAAATTTACGGTCTTGAGCAAAACAGAAAAAGCAGGATAACACATTCTCTTTTGATTCTCATGGTAGATAATGATGCTTTTAAACCCTCTCAGTGGTGAGATCCATACCTATTTTTGCAGGAATTTGAATAGTTTCTATTAAAAGCTGCATTTTCTTTTAAGTCTGTTTGGGTTGGAAAACCTCAAACCACAATGTATTTCATGCACATGTTCCCAAGGGTATGTTAAATAGGACCATACTGAGGTCATCTAGTAAGTTTTTTAAACTTTTTAAGAATTCCTTTAATGTACTACACAATCTTGGCCTGATTAAAAGAAGATATTTTAAGAAAGCACTTGGAAACATGACTATTAAAATCTATATGCAGATAATCTATATTATACTTCTACAATGCACAGAGTTTTCCACAGATAATTTATCATTGAGGGAGAAAAAACAATAAAACTACCACTAAAAGGGTTTTGGATCAAAATTTCTCAGAGATAGCAGTAAATACAGACCAAAATCTCCTGTAGTATTGCTGATTGACTTAACAGTGGATGCCTGCAGGATCATTTTAACTGTGCAAAGGTCTGTAGCATATAATCAGAGGATAAAAGGTAGACACCCTTGCATCTATCCCAGAAAAAAAAGAATCATTTGTTGTTTCGGTTGAGTCAAAAAGGCAAGTTTTCTCAGAACATGAGACTATGAGGAAATTATTCTGGTTAGGAACAGTTTCGACCATCAAGCAAATTTTTGTTGTCTACCACGTTCAAACCACAGATGAAACATAAATGGTCCACTTGATAAGTAGGCCCACAGAAAATTATCTCCTGCTCTTTGATGCTTCTAATCTTTTTTCTTCTTTCTTTTTTTGGTTAGACATACCCCTTTCCACTTCATCAAAGTCTCACTTCCTGCGCCAAGTTCCAGGCCTTGTACTTCACCCAAATCAATTTTCAGTTGAACTAGCAGCTGTGCTGGCACGGTGCACATGGAGAGCTGGGCCACGGGCGCCAGCGGTGCAGTCCCACATCTGAACAGAAGTGGCCGGTTCCATGTACCCAGGGCCAAGAAACTCCACAGCTCGTCAGGGGAAAAACAAGGGAGGACATCTTGAATGGAAATCAGACTTTTACGGAAAACAAAAAGATTTTCAGTAATCAGAAAAATTACTGAAGGGCTGAGAACTTCTTGGCACAAAGTCTGCAGACAGATTTTCTTAAAAGGATATTAGTTAGACCTTGATTTTAAGCTAATGATCCCCATCCCTGCAGCTACACTGGATTTGCCTCTATCCACTAAATAATAAGTAAAAGAAAGTGTTTTTTAATAAAAATATAACCATAAAAGGCACCATAACCAGAGCTATTACCATTTACTAAACTTTTACCATCTAGCAATCCCTACTATGTGCCTTTGATAATCATTGTCACATTTAACACTTACAATATAGAGAAAAGATTCTATTTCATCACTTTACCATTGAGGAAACCAAAGCCTAGAAAACATAAAACTGCCCAACACTTCTGACTCCATGGTCTTACTACTGTATTTATTTTATACAAATTTTTTTTAACTCCCTGATTTTTTCAGCTTCTACATTCCTTTCAAAATACATAATGACAGGGAATTCCTTCTAAAAGAGCCAAACACTTCCAGGCATAGGGGAAAGATGGTGCCCTTACGCCTTGTGCCAAACAGTCCTACGAACAACTGCCATAGTCATCTTTGCTTACTTTTACTTTTTTCAACTTTTTATTTTATATTGGAGTACAGCTGATTAACAATGTTATGTTACTTTCAGGTGTACAACAAAGTGATTCAGTTATACATACACATGTATCTATTCCTTTTCAAATTCTTTTCCTGATTAGGTTGTTACAGAATATTGAGCAGAGTTCCCCGTGCCATACAGTAGGTCCTTGTACTAATATTACACTGCTCTCTAGTCTTTCTAAAAATCCAGATAATTTTATACACACATTTTGGTGTTTAAATTCCAAAGAAGAATGAAATGGTATATAAGAGACCAACTCTACGCTATTGTCAATAACTATCACTGTATGATTAAGAATTTTTGATATTAGAATTGTAACAATTAGAATCTACTTTTTGGTGGATAAGAAGGCAGTTTTCAAAGACTTTTGGGGTAGTAGGAAAAGTTGGTATCCTGACTTAGAATATCACTATTCTCCATTTGAAAAATTGTTTAAGAACTAAAATAAGCCATAGACCAATAATAGAAACTTCCTGCAGGTCCAAAAGAATTGAGATACAAAAATTAAAGTAATTAAAGTGAGCTACAAGGGAAAATTGGGAATGAAAATCCTAATTACCCAATATTCAATCCGAACCAGCCCATAAAGTGAACAATTTTAAGGATGGGACCTTGGATCCTTGTTTATCAAAGCCTAAAAAATAAGTAAAACTTGAATATATCTAATAATTTTTAAAATAACATTTTTTGCTTTGGTGCCTTTATTCCTGATGAAACACAGATGGAGCCAACAGAAGTGCTGATGGAAAAACCCTCAGGAATTCTCTCTAGAGAAATGTGCCCTCAAACTGAGTTAAATAGGAAGTCCTACACATCTTGGTTCTACTTTTAAGCAGGAAAATAATGGTGAAACCCACCCATTCCCCTACAACAGCTTAAAGCCAAAGCTTGAAGTGAGAAAACTGGCCCTCTGGTCTACATTCAGGGTGCACAAACTGCTACCTCATCACAAGCAATCACCAGCATTAATCACTGATGTAGTGGGGACCCTTTCACAAAGACTCAGCCCATATCAAGTGGGCACCCTTTTCTCCAATTCTTATTGACCATTCTTTCATTAGGAACAAAGTGTTGCCATACTCACAATCTTGGCAGAAAAAAATAGCACAGAGCAGAATTCCTGCATTCATTCACCTTTTTTTCTCCAGTAAACATTATAATCATTGAATTGAACACAGTTCAATTATCCTTTAAACAGATATTCATGTAACATGAAGGTACCAAAGTTAGAATTAAGTCAGTTTGCTCCCTTAAAAAAGTATATTCCATTTTCAACAAATCATTTCAAAGAAAAATCTACCGCTATAAAAAATGAAAAGAATAAAGAGAAAAACTATAATTTTGAAATGACGGAAGCTGACAGATACATGAATAATCACGGCGAAAGTTTCATAGAAAAAAGCAGTTCCTCTACATTGTGGGATTAATATGTGAATCTGAGAAATGGTAAATTGCTTGCAGTGATACTGATTAAAGTAATAAAATCAAAACTTATTATTTTGACATTATCTAAAAAAAATCATTTGAACAATGTTATAGAAGAAATATTTTTTCAGATGATCCTTATTTCTGTACCCCAAGAAGGAGTCTGTAAGCAATGCACAGCACGAATCTCTATTCAAGTACATTTATTCTCCACGAGTAATGCACATTAATCAAAGCATACAGAAAGCCCCTCATCAGCAGAACTAATGATGACTTGCTTTGTACATTTTAAGACAGCCATACGATGAGAGGGGGACTACAGCTGTGAAGGTCCTCCCATTTCTTTCTGCAGAGAATGATCTCTGCGTGCCTGACTCCAACCTTTCCATTGTCTATATTTCTATTTTTCGGGGAAAACACATGCCCTGACCTTGGATACTTTATGGCTGCTGAAGAAATATGTTCGATCAGATACATATAAAAGTATGATTGTAGGCTGCCAGTGCTAAATTCTGATAATTTTTATTTCAGACCCACACTTCAACGTAAGAGTAAAAAGTCACGTGATGTGACTTAAGCTCAAGATCAATGGCTACTGTACACTTATATGGATCAGTCTGGATAGAAAAGAGAGGCAAATTCTTGTGGTTTTAACCGAAACATACTAAAAATTTCAAAAAACAAACCTGGGGTTCTGCAAACACGTTCTTCATGTTGTTAATTGGGCCATACGGGACTCCACTGCCTTCGAAGAGGTGTAACCACTTGCTGGTCATTTCTTCTTCAAACCTAGGAAGAGACCAAAAAAGGATGCACTTTTATACTCTAAAGAATGTACACAACCTGTTTTCTCCTGTGGCCCTCTTTGAAAGCAACTGATAATGACAAAAACATGTTTCTTTAACTTTCCTTGTGCCTAGTTTTGAGAGAATGTTGCCAATATGAAACAACTTGAGTTGCCCTGTAAGGTATAAGAATAGCCACTCCCATCCCCTTGTTTGCAAATCCACCATTAGAGTTGAAATTCCTCCTATTTCTGACCCTATGAACTTTTTGACAGAGAGACCCTTGGAGAAGAGAGATTATATAGAAAATGGTATTAACTGAGCTTCAAATGTGGCATTGAGCACTTGATGAATTTAATGATGATAATATAATGTTACTGAAGTTTTGAGTATAACGTCATTGTGCAGTGTTTTTTAGGTCTCAGGCAATGGTACATGAGGTTAAGATAGACACAGATATGCTAAATTATTCCTCAAAACAAAAAATAAACTAATGAATTGGTTTTAAAAGAAAGCTGTATGTTTTACCTCCATTACTCTTAAAGCACACCAGAATTAACAGCCACAACCACTGGCCTAAAAAAAAAACTTAATTACTTATTTACTTGCACTGTGGTTTACCAATTAGAACAAATGGAGACACGTAAAGACTAATACCTCAATTTAGCCAACAACCCTCAAATTCATCCAAGTCCTTTACCTCTGTTTTATTTTTACTATAATTTAAAATTGGACTTCACAGACACAAAAGCTTATTTGATTTCCTTTCTTTTCTCTATTAGGAGACCTAATTCATTAATGAGATTTACTGTTTTTTAGTTCTCTGTTAAGACAGTGAGCACAGAAACAAAATCTTGGATCCTCAAAGACAAATAAACACTCATAGCTTGTAATATATGAAGAATTTGACAACTGTTAATTGTTAAAATAGCAAACTATTTTTAGTTAAGTAATAATCTAGGTTAAAAGAAATTTTTAAAAAGCGTCAGCTATAGTAAATTATTGGCAGCAAGTAAAATGCTTCACGAATATGGGAGGGCTAGTGGAAGTGTAGTAGAAATAGTTAATATTCATGGGCTTCTATTCAGCTCTCTCAGACATAGCTAAAATTAATTTCAGATCAGCAGATTCTATGGGAATTATGTCAGAGGAATGCACTTTTTCCACTATTTAAAAAAAAGATTAAAAAGTGTCAATACTTTGAGAACACTTCTCTAATTGCCGTCTAATAGATAAAAAGAAAAGAGAAGTTTGAATTAACATACTCTAAAAGACAGACTACTATATGAACAACTATGTTCAATCATATAAATTTTTTACATAAGAATCTGATAAAAATTTTTAATGAAGGTAGTATACATTTCACTAGGAGTATAATTAATCCTATTCACACATCCACTTATTCTACAACCACCTGAGGAGCGTCTACTCTACACCAGGCATTGATTTTTGTCTTTAAAAATAATGCCTTCCCCCTTTTCTTTCCATTATGATAAAGATTTTTCATTATACACATTAATTATGGCCCAGTAATGTTAACTATCCCTATTTAGTACACAATAAAAGACTTCACTTCTAAATATTGAAAAATATTCTTTCATGGGAACGCCACAATGCAAGATTATATGTTTTGAATTAGTCAATTCTTCGCATCCACATTTTCTTTTCAATGACTATTAAAGTCGTCTCCTGGCAGAGACTTGCTAAGATATATATAGATATATATCACCAGAATGATATATGTTGAAAGAATAAAAGAGGTGCTTTGAACCTGGAACCTTTTAAATCAGGGTGTTAATTATTTAAGTTTTCATAAACAGAGTGTTATAATGGTTACTCTGATGAATTTTCAAGACATAAATTTATCACCACTGGACTCACCCAAGCGGCCTGAAAGATCCGCACAGAAAATGTATGTCAATATCTCAACAAACCCATAGCTGCAGGCTTGCCAACAGGAAACTCAGGGGAATAGTTGAAGTTTTAGTATTTATATAAGCTTTTCACCACTGGGCAAAAGGGAGGGATTTATTTCATGTTATGGAAAACAACGGATGCACTTTGGATATGAGACTGGGGAGAGAGGCAGCGTCTGGAGCTGCAGTTGTGACCACTGTTTGTGTATTTGAGTGGGTGTGGGCGTGGAAGTGTTCACAAATGCCTTAAACTCAATCAGTCAGAGACGAACATCACTGCATTCCGTTACTCCCAGAGGACACATCCATCATTTTCTTCTGAAAATCTATCTCTTGATCTAAATCTGATGTAGAATCCTTTCCTTTATCTACGCAAGAAAATCTGTAAGTGCTTGTTTTTATGAACCACAAAAATTCTGCTAAAAAAAAAATGGAAAGAGCTGATTTAACTCACTCAGGGCAACACAATCCTGAAGATAAGACAAGAAGGGTGTCCCTGGATCCACTGTAGTAGGCCTCAAAGCTAGGGCCTCCTCTGGGAAGTTCCTTGGAGACTCATAAAACAATTCAGACTTAATTGTAAACTTACTAAATCAACCCATATATTTAATTCTAGATTTTTGTTGAATTCACTTGATGCCGAATGGTTATTATTAATCAGATTACATCATTTAGGCAGATGAAACACTGCTGCTTAAAGATAGACTTGAGTTTCAATTTCTTAACATGAAAATTTAACTTAGAAAACGAACCAAAGATTCTTCTCTTTTGAGAATGGATTAAAGTTGCAGCCAAATCCAAGGCCAGAGAGCAACTAATAAGAGATCCATGCCATGAAGGTGGGAGTTGAAAATAATTATAACATTAATGATTAATAAATGCTGGTCATTAATTGTTTGATCTATATTTTGTAGATTTTATCCTCATAAGCACATTATAAAGTAAATATTATCCTCCTTTGACCAATAGGAAACTCAGGTTCGGAGAAATTAACTTGCTCAAATTCATATAGCTTCGCCCACCCCAACTTTTTTGAGGTACGATTGACAAATAAAAGTCATATGTATTTAATTTGTACAACATGATTTTTTAAGGTGAGCAATGTGATGATTTAACATACATATACATTGTGAAATGATTACCACTATCACAGTTACCATTTGTGTGTGTGTGGTGAGAACACTTAGCAACTCCTCTCAGCAAACTTTAAGTATTTGATACAGTATTATTACCTATAATCACAATACTGTACATTCGATCCTCAGAACTTTTCATCTGACAGCTGAAAGTTTGTACCCTTTGACCAACATCTCCCAATCTCCCGCACACCCTAGCCCCTGGCAACCGCCGTTCTACACTCTCGTTCTATGAGTTTGACTTTTTTTAGATTCCACACATAAGTGAGATCATGCAGTATCTGTATTCCTGTGTCTGGCTTATTTTGCTTAGCACTAAGATGCTTCTTCACTTTCATCCTATATACCTCATGATATATCTCTTTACATTAATACTCACTCATTCATTCCTGATGCTTTTAGCAAGAGTTTTTTTTTTTTGTGCCAGTCATGGGGATTACAATGATAAAAAAGAACAGTCATCGTATCCAGAGATCATATAGTCTAATGGAGAACAGAGCTATCGAAATTTATGAATTACAGTGCAGGATGCTGAGACAAAAATATGAATGAACAACTTGCAGTCGAAGCACCAAAGAGGGAGACCTGCACTGGGCCTGGGGAGTCAGGAAAGCATTCAAAAATGAGGTGACATTTGAGCCAGGTGTTGAAGGATGAGTTAGAATTTTCCACGTGAAGGGTGGGAAGAAGGATCTTCCAGGCAGAAAAAGCAATGTGTACAAAGACTCAATCTGGAAAGAATGTGAAATCTCCTGTGCCTTGAGCGGCAAAAGAGGAAATGGAAAAGGGAGGTTAGAACCAAGAGCGTGAGGCATCTGGTGAGCTATGCTAAGGATATTGGATTTCCACTGGCAATGAGGAACCCAGAGAGGTCTTTCAGTAGGGGACTGACATAATCAGCATTGATACAGAGAAGGGAAGGATATCGATGAGACTAGAGAAAAAGAAACTTGACAGGAGGCACCATGCTGTCTCCCTCTGATGCTTCTTAAACCTGCCTCTCCATCAATATCTTCCATATTACTGTCAACCAGAAATAATAAGTTTTTGTTTGAAAAAATAAGTTTTCCAGGCATTCTTACCCTTTTTTGTTACTATCCTATTTATGTTTCCAGTCTATCATTACTGCTTGAACCTCTGATATATGACTTGGCCACCAACACCTTTTCTTACCCAGTCTCCAAGGGTCTCCAGTGACCACTTGGGTCTGCCAATATTCTGTTCACAGTCCGAATCCCACCTGCTTTCTGTGCAGTATTTGACACTGTTGACTATCTTATCTTTAGGTCCTATGATACCTTCTTGGATTTTTAATACCTCTTTGGCCATTTCTGGCTTTTTTTTAATTAATTCTTTTACCTTTTCCTTCCAGTCCCAATATTCTTCATTTTCTTTTAAGCACTTAAGTAATCCTGTCATCTCTATGCAGATGATACCCAAATCTATTATTTCTAGCCCTGACCTTTCCTCAGTTCCCCTTTTCTAGTTACCATAGAATATTTCCACTCAGATGTAGTATCATCCTCATAAACACGACTTGCCCATGGATGATTAAAATTTCCATTTGCCCCATAAACCTAATATTCTCCCTTGCCTGAACTCAAACCCTTGGCTAAATCTGGAACTCCTTCTTCTCATCATTTATCATTTATACATAATTGCCCTGTAGAATCAACTTTTCAAAAGTTAAGTTTTATTCCTCTATTCCCACTATTACTACCACAGTTCAAGCCCTTGATTCATCACACATGGACTATGGCAATAGTTGATTAAAAACTTACTGCCTCCAATTTTCCCCCTTTCCATAAATCACTCATTTTAGATATGTCTCAAATCTGTCCAACTATTTCCTTCCCCAAGATCATTACCTTCTCTCACACTAGAGAAACAGACGATTTCTTGACTGTTATAGCCCCATAACTTAAAATACAGTTGGCACTCAATATTTGCTA